ATCACCATAATTATATTAACGTTTTCAAATTGTTTGATGAAAAAATTAAGCAGGACATCATATTTAGCATCGAATTTACCATAAAAACACCTATTAAATATATTTAAATGTGTATATATCAGGAATGCGACAGCTTCGAATCGGGATTTAGGCTCGGATCCTTGGATCTGGTAAGATTTTGTGAAAATCACAAGATTTTCGAACAGAAATCATGTTAAAAATAGTAGTTTACTGAATACTTTAACTAACAATTGAAACTTTTGTAGTTGAAAATCTGAATTCATCTCATGGAAACGAATTCGTCTTCGGGTAAGCATCATCGCTTTCATTCGAATTCGGATTCCATTGGCCAATATCTCGATCTCTGGGATTCGTCTCATTCCATATATGAGTGTATGAGTGAGTTTGTGTGTGTATGTATGTTTGCGTGTGTGTATGTGTGTGTGTATGTGTGTGTAAACTTATTATTGATTGCGTAAAAATATGATGGCTTATCTATTTAAATATATAAAACGTGTTATTTTTGTTGGGTACATACAGTACAAACAACACACACAAAAGATGCAAGCATACATATTAGACAATCCTTGTTTTACTTTTAACGTTAAACTAGTTAACAATTATATTGATTTGATAAATGGATACTGTCTGGAATCTAACTAATGTAGAGGACTTGATTATGGAAACTGTTGATGAATAAATTAATTATCCTGACGAGAGTGAGCTTTTATGTATGTGGCTCTATGAATTTCAGCGAGATACGTAATATTTTTTTGCCTACAGTCACAATAAACTTTTTAAAACTTTGTGACACGTTAAAGAAGGAGTTTGTCGTTGAAAATGACGTCTCAACTAAAGAAAATTATTGAAAACATTAAAAAAACCAAGTTTTTCAAAGTTTCAAAGTAACCTTAGTAATAAAGCTTTAACATAAACGCTGGAAAAACAAGCATAGAACTAAAAAGTAACGGTTCCCATATAAATAAAATACCAATACATCAAAGTAGTTTCCAACGTTCAAGCAATTGAGCAAACACTTATTAAACAATAAAGAAAAAAAAGAAATATTTCTGAATCTAGTAACTTTAAAATAGATTCAAAGATCAAGAATTTGTATAACGAGTCCCACTAAAAATGTATCACTCCATCCAACTGGTCATAAAACCCGTTCAGAGACCCAATCCAATCCATAACTACAGACCAAATTAGCAACTTTTAAGCAAAATAACGATTATGCCTTCGCTCCTAATTCAAGATCTCATATTTCAAATCGGCCGAGTACTTCATTTAAATTTCAACAATTCATGCAACAGCTTTTAGGTATATGTACATCAACGATCGATAAAATGTTTATAACTCTGTGTGTGTGTGTGTTTGGGGTGTGTGTGTGTGTATTTACATACTCATACATTCAATTTTCAAACATTTATTTAAATTCTAAATTCATATTCATCAAAATCCATAAAATCGCTAAAGATTAAAAAAAATTTTAAATTGGGTTAATATAAATTAGTATTAAACCAATCAATATCCTTCTCTCTCTCTCTCTCTCTCTCTCTCTTTCTCTCTCTCTCTCTCTCTTTCTCTTTCTCTCTCTCTATCTCTAACTCTCTTTCCTCCCTATATATACACAAACACACGTACATACACATACATACATACACACATCCATACATAAAAATTGCGCCATCTTAATTTAGGAGAAAAAAACATTTTATTCGCATGATTAAACCAAATAAATACAATATTTCTAAACATATTAAACGTCAATTAACATACGCGCAAAGTTAAACAAGTATATATTAAAGTATGTATATATATATATATTAAATTCAATTATATATATTATTATGTATACATATATATATATATATTATAACAAATTCTGCTTAAAATTAATAATTATATTACAGTGTATATATATTAAACACAGCAAAAACATTAGCTTAAAAACCTTTTTAAGAAAAAAATTAGTTGAAAAAGTATGAAAGACTTGCGTTGATATATCAAAAATGTGAATACAAATCAGGAATTAATAACGTATTGAAAAAAATGTAAAATATAATATGTCAGTAAATATGTTAGAAATAATTTTCAGATTGGTGTCAGGAGATTTAACTTGATGTATGTGTTTCAATATGCGAATGTTAAGTTAATGTAATGTTGTATTGTAACAGCTTGATGTAATGTCAGATGCTTTAATGTAGTGTAATGTCGTTTGGTTTGGTTTATTAATGTGATCATTTTTTATTGAGTGTTTTGATGTCTTTTAATGTAACTAAGCCTGCTGTTAAGTAGTGTAACATGATGATATTTTGGAGTAATTAGATAAGTTAATGTGTTTAATGTCACAGGCGTCGATGTACTCAACATGACGCAGTGAGACGTGACGTAATGTTTGGGAATGTAATGTGATGTCATGAAATGTAAAGCCACGTGTTTAAATATAATCTAATGATAGTTTCTGATGTAATTTTAGTCTGACAAAAATCTTTCATTTGAAAAAGTAATATATTAATGATTCGTAATATCTGCCACACGATAATAATGTTAAAGTATTTGCTATATATAATGTCAGTATCAAAATGTATACTTTATTACACACACACACATACATACACACACACACACACACACACAAACAGACACACACACACAAACACGCATATAAAACATACAAAAACAAATGTTTAACATAAAAGACACACACACACAAACACGCATATAAAACATACAAAAACAAATGTTTAACAATTAATTAATTAAGTAATTAATATTTCAAATCCAATTTATTAAGAAACTAATAATAATTGGCTTAATTGAACTTCATTACTCTTTAGACTGAATAAAGTTTAGTATAGTGTAATGTATAGTACTAAGTATATATAGTTCTCACATAGTATATAATACAGATGGTATATATATATATAAATATATATATATATATATATATATAAGTATGTCTTTTATATATAAATGTGTATAGTATCAGGTAAAAATTAAATTTAAATTACATTTTGACATAAAATCCAAAAAAGACGATAAAAATATATTCAAAATAAGTAACAGCATTGATAACAACATGAGTAAAATAAAAGTACTACTACTAACGATAATAGCAGTAATAATAATAATAATAATAATAATACTAACAATAATAATTTAATAATGATAATATTCATCAGTGGGCTAACCAGACATATGCTGTGTTGGGGCTTAAATTTAAAAAAAAATTTAATTTTTGACTAACCCGTGGTTTTATTGAAAATTAAAAGTAATTTTTATCTTACGAGAAGGTTTGAAATTGTTTCAAGTCTAAATTTTCACAAATTTTCATAGGAATTTCGCTTATTTTAGCATTAGTCCTTGCAAAGTTCAGCATTTGGAGGCTTATCCTGCTGGCATATCCCTTTGGTAATGACTTTAAAAAAATAGTTTAAAAAATCTTCGAAAACATATGCTGTTGAATCAAATTTAATAAAATTCTCTATTTATGTAATTAATCAATTTATTAACTACAGAAAATCAAGCAAATGATTACGTATATAAATATAACTATTGAAACAAATTTGTCTCAAATTAAATTTTGAATGATTATACTTTAACGTGAATAATAATAATAATAATAATAATAATAATAATAATAATAATATTCCTAAGTAGTACTAGTAGTAGTAGTTCGTGAAAGAAACTTTGGTATCATTCCTTCATTCAATCTGTTTGTCACTCAGGCAATTCCAAATCAACTCAATTTCTCAAGCACATTCGCTAGTGGGTGGGAGAATTTGAAAATTCGTTCATTTAAAATTGATGTGAAAAAATGTTATAAGCTAAAAACGTAAATGTAATTCACAACATTATCATTTACCTTACCAATTTCAAAATCTTTATTACCATAGCTATTAATATTTTCTTAAATATTTTCCAGAAGCATCAACAGCAAATACTGAGTGCAATAATGTTAAAGATAAAACTAATGCTTACATTGATAAAAGATCTGTCTGTCTATGTTACAGGACAGATTCTGTGTGAGAAGTTTGAAACAATTTGAAAAAATTAATTAAAAAAATTAATTTCACCTTTTGTACGTAGTAAGAAAAACCCCAAATATAAAATTAATATTTGTCACAAAATATAAATATTAACGTTAAAAAGTTTTTAAACTGCGAAATAAAATAAAACATCTTACTCTTAATTATTTACAACAGTAATTCACTCAAAAAAAAAACGCAATTTCAGTTCAAATTAAAAACAACTTTTTGAGCTGAACGTGAATTCAAACCAGGGCGCCATCACACAACGTAGATGAGAAAAACACCTCCAAACAATACACCAAACACAATGCAAATCGACAGTGCAAAGTAACTAACGCTGAAGTTGATGTTGGTCCTGACTGGTCTCGAGTGGGTCATTTGAAGGGGTCTGAAGTTGTTGGCGACGCTGGTGCGATTAATGCTATCTTCCCGAATCATCTCTCGCAGTATTTTCAACTTTTGGTGGTGGTGGTTGTTAGATGGTGGTCATTAAAATGGTGATGTTTGTTATTGAGTGGTGATGATATGATGATGTCATCATATGGTATTGAAGATACGAAATTATTATCAAGTTAAATTGATGAATTTGCAATGACGTTATCAACTTATTGCAATGAAGATATGACGATGTTGGCGGTGACGATAGGATGATGTCGTCAAAACCGCCTAAAAAACAAATAAGAATTCACTAGATTCCTTATCGCATCACTCATATTTCTTGTGATATGCGAGGATTTCTTTGCAGTCGAACCCACTAACAGCAACATCAGGACCAAGCGCTTTAATCCAGATGCACCATTTTACACGTCCGAGTGACGTCATTATTACAGAATTAAATAAATGGTTTATATATTTCCGTAGTCTTTGCGTAGTGGAATTCAGGTTGTCATTATAAATCTTATCTTACATCCTATTCTATAGCATAAAATAGCTACCGTCTACAAATTTGTCATTGATTTGGTCATTATCTTATCTTAAATGTTATATACTTGATTTGCGGCGTAAAATATTGTAGCCAGGATTTTGAAGTGTAGACATCATCTGCATCATATATAAACACAATGTAGATATTATCATCTTAAAATGACATCGTTCTCATCAGCAACAGCAACAGCCTTGTCAAAGTTATTGTCATCGTTCTGTATATCATCTTCATCATCATTTCATCATTTCTATTACGTCATTATCATTATCGTCATCGTCATCTGGTCATTTTCGTTGCGTCATCATAAACGTCATCAACACTGATGTCATTGTGAGATCATCATCTTTAGGACTTCGACATAATCATTATCGTGTAAATATTATAATCGTTATAGTCACAATCATGATAAGCATCATCATCATAAACAACATCATCATCACAACAGCATCATCTCCATCATCATCATCATCTTCCTCATAATCATCATCTTCCTCATAATCATCATCTTCTTCTTCATCTTCTTCTTCATCTTCATCGTCGTCGTCGTCTTCGTCACTCGTGACATGAGATATTATTGAATTTATCAGAGTTAATATTTGCCTTGCAATATTGCACAGCTCATGATGGGGTTTTCCTGCACGCTCTGTTTTTTTTCTTTCTCTGTTTTTTATTTGTTTGGTTGCTCGTAACTCACATTTATTTGTTTATTAATTCGATCATTTATTTATTTATTGATTTATGTATTTTTTATAATTATTATCGATGTTTTGTTTCATTATTTATTATTATTATTTTATTTATTTATTATTATTATTATTCATCAATTCCCCATATTATCATATTTCTTGATGTCATTCATCACACACGTGCACAAACACTCAAAAAACACCCACTCACTCTCTCTTTCTCTCTATCTCCCTCTCTATCTCCCTCTCTCTCTTCCTCTTTCTCTCTCTTTCTCTTTCAAACACACACACACGCACGCACACACACAAACGTAATAACGCTCAATAAACTAATAAATCTATGGCGATTGATTTAATATTTGTCATAAATGTTTGCAAAAAGATTGCATGTCAGGAATATTTTCTTAAATGGAACACCCCGCTGTTCTATTTATCATACTTCTAATGTAAACGAATTAACTTGTAAGTCGATCTAATATTGTTTATTGTATTGTAATTAGCTATGCTGCTACTATTATTGTATTATTATTTTTTTGGGTAATATAAATTCTTTCCTAGTTAATTTGTAGTGGCTTCAACTGGCTATGTGGTCATTGGCTATCTCACTCACGTTCTCCATCAGATCCGTACATTGCATATTTATCTCATCGCAATTAACTCCGAGTCTTGCCTTCTTCACATCTTCCTAATCATCGTCGTCATCATAATGATAATCATCATCATCGTCGTCATCAGCATCATCACCATCACCGCCATCACCGCCACAATCATCATCATCATCATCATCATCATCATGACGACTCACGGATTCTTCATTGACGTATACCGGCTTGTTGAAAATCATCCACGTCACTGTTTCCTGGCACCCAGGAAATGGGATCGATCCCTCGTAAGTGACGTAATTTTCCGTGTTTGGGAGTAATCCGTGTATGCTTATGTTCTCCACGTTAATCTGGTTACCTGTTGTTGGTTGTTTTGTATGTTGTTGTTTGATTCGTATTTTTTTATTGGAGTGGTGTTATTGTTATGGTTGTTTCTGTTGTTGTTGATCTGTCGTAGTAGTTGTTGTTGTTGATGTTGTGATTGTTGTTGCTGCTGTTCTATAGAGATTCTGTTCGCAGATGTTGATGACACAGTTTTGTGAGGAATGTGTAATAAGGTTGTTGTCGTTGTTGCTGATGATAATGATAAGAATAACGATGACGAGGATGATGATGATGATGATGATGGTGTTCTGATAATGATATAGATGATAATGATGATGACGATGACGATATTGATGATGATGACAGACTTTGAACCGAAACACTCAACCATACTTAAACATTATTTCATTTTAACGACGTACCCGACTAACTTGATCCACAAACTCCTTCCTCCGAAACCTACTCACCCAGGGAGATGATAACGAAAATAATAACAAAACAAAGAATAAAATGATGAAACATGTTAAAACAATGATAATACTATCGCTATAACTTTGCTTATGTATTTCTAAACCGATATCATACAGATATGACATCAGGACAGCGTCACAATAAGAGGAGGAACACCATGTTTGCTTTTTCCTAATTCACTAATCGCTCATGTTTTTGAATCATTTATTCTTCATAAGTTAATAATAATAATATTATTATTATTTATTATTTTTATTATTTGAATAATAAATTAGTAGTATTAACAGTAGTGATTGCGCATAAGAAATATGACACATAACTTATTAAATCAAAAGCTTTTATTCATTCGTTCGTTCGTTCGTTCGTTCGTTCATTCAACCATTCATTCATTCGTTCGTTCGTTCGTTCGTTCGTTCGTTCGTTCGTTCGTTCGTTCGTTCGTTCGTTCGTTAATTCATTCATTCATTCATTCACTCATCCAATAATTCACTCATTCATTTGACGGTGATTATGGTTGTCATTGTCAACTACTGTTTATGTTAATGTTTATGTTAATGCTTAGGTTAATTATTATGTTTATTTTTGAGTTAATGTTTATGCTGGTGTTTATGATCATGTTTATGTTAATGTTTATGTTAATGTTTATGTTAATGTTTATGTTAATGTTTATGTTATAGAGTTAATGTCGTAATGCTAGGGTACTTGATGAAGAAGCCAGCGGCTAATCACGACACGAACCCAAACACAGTTGCACCGCTAATGAATTTTCGTCACGCTTCCATCTTCACCGCAGTATTACTAACATTGTTATTCTTACTACTTCTACTACTACTGCTGCTGCTGCTACAACTGCTGCTGCTGCTACTTCTGTAGTTACTATTACTACAATTGCTGCTGCTACTTTTGCTACTAATAGTGCTAATATCACCGTTACTTTTCATAATACTTTTTGTTACTAGCATTGAGAAGTACACACACACACACTTACACACACACACACACTCACACACACACACACACACACACACACTCACACACGTACCACACACGCACACAACAAATAGACGCAAACCTTGGCAGCAACACAAAATATACATACACACGTACACACACACACACGTACACATACACACACGTACACATACACACACGTACACACACTCACCTTGTTCTTTGATAAGTTCCACTTTTTTCAGCAACGTGTCCAGTTCTGTGTTCGACCTCTTATCTATCTGTAGCAATAACAAGAAAAATATGATTATTATTTTCAAAACAACAACAGTAATAATAATAACAAGCCATCATCATCATCAAGACATCATTGTCGTCGTCATCGTCACCATCATCACCACACGCTTAACGTAACATGACGCGGAGTTTATACATAATGAATAAGTCAGTCTTGCACTATGTCAAGACATACACCAATTAGCAAGCTAGGGTCCCAACACAACACAATAAACAATCGCTCAACCAACCGACCGGTAAGTCAATCAATCAACCAATCAATCAAATATTCAAGTGTATCAAGTGTACTAATCAACCTAACATTTAACTGGCCAATCAAACAACCACTTAGAACATAATTCCCATTAAAAATCTATTAAAACATTCAATTAGATAACATATTAACCAGTTAACCGTACAGCCAACCAACCGACCAGCCCACCAATCAACAAACTAATCAACCAACTAACCAACCAATCAACAAACTAACGAATCAACCAGCTAACCAGACACCCAACAAACCAACCAACCAAGCAACAGAGAAAATTTTAATTGACTAATTAGCCCGGAGTAGTGACTTTGAAATGAATGACGAATGGCACCAATGATGATGGTGATGATTATGGTAATAATAATAATAATTATTATTATTATTATTAATATTATTATTATTATTATAAAAATGATGAGGATGTTTATACTAAAGCCGATAATGAATACGACGACGACGATGATGATGTATGTTAATTCTTAAAAATACTATCATGTTTTACCAGTGAGTAAGTATCACAAAATATTAATTGTATCAGTGAATAAGTTTCACAAAGTATCATTTTGTATCAGTAAATAAGTTTCACAAAGTATAATTTTGTATCAGCAAATAAGTATCACAAAGTATCAAGTTGCATCGTTGAGTAAATATCACAATGTATCAAGTTGTATCGGTGAATGAATAGGTATGACAAAGTATCAAGTTGTATCAGAGGGTAAGTGACACCAAATATCAATTTGTATCAGTGAATAAATATCACAAAGTACCAATTTGTATCAGTGAGTAAGTATCACAATGTATCAAGTTGTATCAATAAGTAAATATCACAAAGTATCAAGTTGTATCAGTGAGTAAGTAAGACAAATTATCAATTTGTATCGGTGAATATGTATCCCAAACTAACAATAAAGACAAATTTTTCAAGGTTGGTTGACCGCAGAGAAATCGCTATTGTAAATAAATTTTGAAAATTTTTCCTATCAATTAAACGAAATACTTTTTTGGCCATTTTCAAACGTTGCTGTTGATGATGATGATGATGATGATGATGATGATGATAAGGTTGATAATAATGGTTGTGATAAGGTTGATGATGATGTTCATGATGATGATAAGGTTGATGATGATAAGGTTGATAATGATGGTAGTGATAAGGTTGATGATGATGATAACAGAGATGATGATTGTGATGGTGATGTTGTTTAAGTTGTAATTAAATGAAATCATAGCCACCCTATAGTTATCCTCATCGTCATCAACTTTGATATCATCATCGTCGCCTAGGGTATGGCTCCTGGAGGCATAAATCATCTAGTTCTAGTTAATCCATATAATCAGCCGCATCATCATCGCTAGAATCGATTTCGTCTGATCATCTCGTCATCATCATCGTCCTCGTCATCATCATCGTCATCATCATCGTTTTCGTCATCATTGTCATCATCATCATCGTCGTCGTCGTCAACTTCATCCTCGTCCTTATCGTCATCATTATCATCGCCGTCATCATCATCAAAAACAACAACAACAACATGGTTACCATCATCATCGTCATCATCTTCATCATCGTTACTAGTATTTCATGGTCGTCATCGTCGTCATCATCAACAACGACAAAGCAACAACAACAACAACAACAACAACAACATAGAAACAACAACAACATAGAAACAACAAAACAAAAACAACAACAAAACGACAACAACAACAACAAAACAACAACGTTAGAGTAACGCGTCAAACAGCGTGTTTAGACAAGCGAAAAATTGTCGTTCATTTAATGACGATGTTTATGTTGTACTTGTAAAGGTTGCACTTGTGTTGTTGTATTTGTTGCTGCTGTTGTGCTGTTGCATTTGTTGTTGTGTTATTGTTGTTAATGTTTTTGTTGTTGTTGTTGCTGCTGCTGTTTTTGACGCAGCTTTACTCATTTTGATTACTTTGATTTAGGTTGTACTAAATTAACTGTTGTATTGCTACTAATCAATTAATTAACAACATTGCCATCAAGTAACATCAGTTTTGAATAAAAAATACATTTAGAACATTATCTCTAATTAATCAGTCTTATATATCCTTTTAGTAAAACAAAATTTCCCATTAAGCAAAATTTTAAGATTTAAGATTTCAAGATTTCAAAGTTTCAACCGGACATCAGTTTTATCTCGCAACAATAGAATAATTTCAAATCTTCCGACCTAGTGAATAAAAGGATATTATCATTATTATTATCATCGTTATCTTCGTACTTTTATAACTTTCACGTTCATCATCATGAAGGTTATCACCATTCGAATCATCATTGAAGTTCCTGTCCATGCTATGTTTTTCTTTATTTTCTTATATTTTTTAACGAACAAAACATTCGAGTGTGTCAAATTTCCAAACTAGTTGAGAAAAAATGTCCTATCACGTATTTTGCTTTATCATTTTTTGAGTAAAATGTTTTTTTAATATGCAATTTTTCCCAACCAACCATGCCAAACACTTTATAAATTTCATTCAAAATCCACTTTAACGAAACATTATTCAATCCGAAGCAAACAAATTTGAATTGAACATTTTTTATCAAGTAACATTTCAATCAAACAATTTTTTAACCCTGAAACTTATCAGTCAAGAATCTTTTAAATCAAAAAAGTTATTATTTGGTGATCTGTTTATTCGACAAAGTTGTCAATCAAATAACTTCTTAATCAAAGAACTTTTTAATCACAAAATAAATTTTTCAATCAAAAAAACTTTCCAATCAAAAAACTTTTCAATCAAACAACTCTTCATTCGCCAAAGTAATGGGCCATTCTTCTCTTTATACTCTTTTAATATCATTCACATATAGCAGGCTAAGATACTAAGATATATATTCTATATATGTGTGTGTGCGTGTTGTTAAACAACAATAAACAGACTATAATGTTTGTGTTGTCTTATATCTATATACAATGATGTTTGTTTTGTTTATGTGTTTACATTCAAATATATTCTGTTTACTAAATATGTATGTATTTATTTTTTGTATACGTTTAATAAGAGTTAAAATTTAAAAAGAAAATTACTGAATGAGGAAATAGATAAATGAATGAATAAAGAAATAAATAAAAAAATGAAAGAATGAATGAATGAACGAACGAACGAATGAATGAACAAACGAACAAACAAACAAACGTACAAACGAACGAATGAATGAAAGAAAGACTGATTGATAGAGGAAAATATTAACCTGTCCCAGTAGACTAATGATTGCAATGCCATTGGTTGACTCAAGAGCGTGTGACACGTTACCATAAAGATCCGTGTTGTATCCCATTATCTGGATCTGTGTGAGAGGCACGGAACGGGAATAGTAGTAAAACTAATAACCACAATAAAATACTAAATTATTTTATTATTGCAATCACATTATTTTTAATAATAACTATAATTAATCTATAAGTAGAGTTATTAAAAAATAATTAGTGACATGGTGCTAACGATGTTGGTGATGGTAAAATGATGATGATGATGATGACGATGGTGATGATGACGATGATGATGATGATGGTTACGTAGAAGAGGTATGGACGAACATAAATAATCATTTTACATTTCAAAACTGCGCGCACCGCACATACATTAATATGTGCTAGATCTTTGTAGATTTTTTAATACCTCATCCACACACATACACACACGCGCAAACACACACGCACGCACGCACGCACACACATACACAAAAACATAAACACACATAAACACATTCATTCACACACCTAAAAACATCCACACACATACACACACTTAATACACACACATACATACAGAAACACCTGCACGCACACACATTTACACACACGCTTACACACACATACAAACAAAAGGAAACAAACAAACAATTTGTCATGTAGAAGATAATGTATACGGCAGTAATCCTTAGTGCTTATACTTGTAGGACGCTAATGTATTTGCGCTCGTGCGCCGCTCCACTATATGTGGCTCTATGTGGCTAGGCCACTGCGTTATGATGATGGTGATGCATGGTTATGATGATGATGATGATGATGATGAATGATGATGATGATGATGATGCATGGTAATGATGATGACGACGATGCCAAAGGTGATGACAATGATAACCAGTCACCTCCAACATGCCCTACCACTCTAGGAGGAATTTTTAAACTTTTCACAAGTAAATTTCATCTTAATATTTTGTTTTATTATTTTTTTAAACAGCTTATCTACTAATAATATTCTTAGATTAGAATCCTTTATGAAGTTAACGAAAAAAAAAACAATCAAACATTATAATGATAGTCGTTCAGCATGGACCTCCAATTTTAAGGAACCTCTAAATTATCAGCAGATTTTATACAACAAACAAAGCAAAAACTGACATGTTTGTCGTCAACTAGCCATATATATATATATATATATATATATATATATATATATATATATATATATATTGTGTGTGTATGTGGTGTGTGTGTGTGCGTGCGTGTGTGTGTGTATGTGTGGCTAACTATTTTTTGAATGAGTTATTAAATTTAAGTCTTCTGTTCTGTGTTTATATTTAAAACAAAAGCATTTTGAAACCTTTTTCCATAGATTCGACGCGTTGAAAAGCCAAACTCGATAAATTTTTTAAATTTCACCCATGTCAACTTTGTGGCATTTAAAAAAAATTAAGTTTGCTTTCCTTTTCGCTACGGATTTAATTATAGAATCGTTGTCATCATCATTCACTCTGCTGTGATCACAACATCATCATCAACATCTTTCGGTTCATATTCTCATAGCCATAATAATAATAATAAGAAGAATAAAAATAATAAGAATAGTAATATCATCATCTTTATCATCCTTATTATGATGGTTTTATAATCAACAACATCGTCATTATCATCATCTAGAAGTCTTAGTCATCATCACTCTTTATTGATAAACGATTTGGTTGATAATCCATGTATAAAGCCGTAGAGTGAGGCATGCAGTGGCCATGCATCATTCACAATTCATCCTTACTCTATAACATCATTTTCTCGTGCGTGATGGTCGAATTTCTTTTGTTCACTCACTTACTCACTTACTCACTCACTCACTCACACACTAATTTATTCATTCATTCATTCATTCATTCATTCGTCCGTTTACTTATTCATTCGTTCGTTCGTTTATTCTTTTATTTATTCACTCATTCATTCAATCTTTTGTTTGTTTTTTCGTTCACTTATTTTTAATTAGTTCACTTATTCAAACTGTTCATCCATTCATTCATTCATCCATTCACTTATTCATCTATTTATTTATTTTTTTCCCTATTTCCTTCATTCATCCATCCATTCATTCATTCACTCATCCATTCACTCATTCAAAAATATTTTCCTTCACTCATTCTCTCGTTCGGCGTTCGACATTGTTTTTGATTACGGTAATTTATAGAAGCAAGCGGACATTTTCATTTCTTTCATAGGACTCCTGTCTGCGCAACAACAACAACAACAACATCAACAACAACAACACAACAACAACATTAAACACAACAACAACAGCCATTACGACAACAACAACATCAAACACATTAACAACAACAATCAGTACAACAGCAACAACATCATCATGCTATTTTGATATGGGCATATATAACTTGCGTTTAAGCCCATTAATTTATATTTAATATCAAACACAACAACAACCAACACAACAACAACAACAAGATCATATTAACAACAACAACAACAACCAATACAACAACAACAACAATCATATTAACAACACCAACAATCATATTAACAACAACAACACCAACAACCAATACAACAATAACAACCAATACAACAACAACAACAACAACAACAACCTTATTAACAACGGCGTTAACAACAGGTACTGGCACAACAACAGAATAGAAATGCAACAGCATCAATAAACAACAAACGTCCAACATCAACATCTCGAAATAACATCATAAATGGAAATATCATCATCAGACCCTGCATCCTCTCTGTAGTAATCATCATCACCATCATCATAACCATCACCACCATCACTACCGACAACAACACAACCACAACAACAACATCAATCACAACAACATCACTCACAACAACAACAAAAACATCAAACACAACAACAACAACATCACTCACAAAAACAACAACATCAATCACAACAACAACAACAACATCATTCACAACAACAACATCACTCACAACAACAACAACACTCGCAACAACAACACCATCAATCAAAAAACAGCAATAATCATAAAAAAAACATGAAGGGTCCATAATAACAGTGCAATGAAAAGCAGAAGCAGCACCATCAAACACCTTTTCAAAAATCGCGAAATAAAATGTAAGAAACGATCACAAACAATCAACTATAACCACAACAAAGCAACAAACAACAACAACACAAGCAACAACACAACCACAAATACAAATACATTGGGAACATCATAAAGAGCGGTTGCAAGGAAGACAAAATGTGGTGACCATCATCAAAGGAAGGGCACATGGGCAGAAAGACTAACAGGAACCATTCATTATCCCTTTAGTTTATAAACACGTACACACACATGAATCCACTCGCGCGCGCACACACACACACACACACACGTACAAAGAGACACACACGTACAAACATTACAAACAATACACGAACATATAAAAACACACACACACACAAAAATAATACACTCACTCACCCACACGCACTCACAAACACACACCAACATACAACAAACACACAACAACAAAACACAAAAACACACAAAAGCAATGCATTCTCTCATAACACATATACACTCACACAAACAACAAAACGCACACACACATACAAACACAAACAAAACCAAAAAAGGAAAACAAAGCGCTGTTTGCTACAGGGGAAAAGTCAGGGCGGAAAAAGATTCTGAGCATTTTTCTTTTAATGTCATTCGCAGGCGTCTCATAAATTTATGTCCTAAACAGCTCGCATTGTTTGATAACAACACACCGCCAACATTAACGTCACATCAACAACAAAAATGATCTCAACAACAACAACATTCACAACAACAACAAAAATGATCTCAACAACAACAACAAAATTCACATCAACAACGAAAATGATTTTAACAACAACAACAACATTTTCATCAACAACAAAAATGATTTCAACAACAACAACAACAACATTCACAAAAACAACAACAGAACTAAACGTATCGAACACAATAATTCCGACAATGACAACAAAACAGAGAAATTTTTGAAAAAAAAAAATCATCAAAATGCCATTGAAAACATAAAAAAATGCAGTAGCAGCATAAACAAATACAACAACAGCACCGAACCAACCATGATTACATCAACTACAGCACCACTAAACACATTTGCTCCACTACATCAACCACAATAACATCAACAATAACATCAATATCAACAAAAATATTACAACAACACCATCAAGATGACGTCACCAGCCTTCAAGACATCAAAAACAGTAAAAAAATCTCTCATAAAAAAATAACTAGCTTAAAAACGCACATCATAAAAAAAACTTGGAAATAGAAAAATTGAATTTGGTAAAAAAAATATAGACAGACATGCAACATAAAACTCGAGCAACCATCTCGCAATCTTTTTCAAATCACGATACTTTTTTATTTGGCAAATAAACAATTAAAATTACACACGCACACACACGCATACACACACTAACTTTCTCTCTCTCTCTCTCTCTCTCTCTTTCTTTCTTTCTCTTTCTCACACACACACACTGTTGTATATTTACACACTAATATCTACATACACATATACATAAACATACTCACAAATACAGAAACGTATATATTGTTATACTGCTCGTTCTTCACCGTTCTACGACTGTTACCTAACGAACAACATAGTTTGTTCTCCGGGAAATTCTTTCTGTTTCTGTAAACTCGCTCACTCAATGTTAAATAACTCAATATTGTTCGTGTACATAAAATAATGAGAGATTACTTTAATTGACGACTGAACGTGTGTTGAGTATATTGGTTAGTATTTCAAATGTTACAAAGTTTAATACTCGAAATCTAACGAGAAACGACTCACCCATTATTGTTAATAATATTTTTATTGTTTGCAAGCAACTAAATATATTTTAATGAAGTAAAATAACAAAAACTTAAAACTGAAGAATTAAAATATTTAAATTAAAATTAAATTTAAATTAAAGTAATGCATTAATAATGTGTAAAAGTGTATTAGTAGTATTTAGAAGCTTTTAGCGTGTTAAAAAAAAACTCTAACTTAACTAAGATAACTTCTAACTAGTTGTCTAACTCTTTCTAACCAGTCAGTCCCTATTGTTTGTCACCTCATTCTTATTCTACAAAGTATTATATGCTCTGATTAACTATACGATATGTTATCTTATATTAGGCTGTTTTATGTCATCATCATCATCATCACCACCACCACCACTGCATAAAATCATCATCATCGCCATCACAACTAAAATCACCACCACCAGCAACACAACAATCATCATCAGTACTGGCACCACTCATATCACCCCACTGACGTTGGCACGCATCACTGAGGGACGTTGTTTATCTGGAACGTCAGCCATAAGCTCAGCGAACCGCGAGTATGACTTATTTTTCTTATATCTCTTTGTTTTTGTTGGCATTAATGTTTTTATTGTTGTTGTTATTCAATCGTTTGTTTGTTTGTTGATCTTGTTGTTGTTAATGTTGTTGTTGTTGTTTGTGTGTTGTTGTTGATGTATTTAATTTTTTATCATTATTTCATTTTATTTTGTGTGTTCTTATTGAAATTCAATTTCATAGCTTGTTTTATTTAAAACTTTTTATTATTCTCATTATTTTATTCTTGTTTAATCGGCATTTTTTGTTACTTTTGTTTTGATTTGTTTATTGTTTGAATTTTTTTGGTGTTTTTTAGTATTTTTTTTTGTTCGTTTGTTGCCTGGAGCTCATGCTGGCCTGAATTTTGATGGAAATGCTAGCAGCCATCTGACGATGACGATGATGACGACGATGACGACGATGATGATGAATACAGTGATGACCATGCTGATAGTGAAAATGATGACATTAGTATAAGGTGGTCTCTAGACGATGTTAGAGTACAAGAAAAAAGATAAATAAAAACTGAAATTCAATAATATCAAATTAAGATGGGATACAAAACGCAAAATCAATTCTAAAAATCTGAACAGCAGCGCTATAGTGTAATGGTTAGTATGCCTGGCAGTGCTTTTGCAGTTACCGAATTCAAAAGCAAAGAGATCCTCGCCTTTCGCATGCAATAAATATAATGCGCTAAACCATGTACTTGTTGCACTGTGTGTTTGTTGTTAACGCACTCGAGAAATAATATTAATAAAAGAAATTTTAAAATTAAAAGAAAGAAATTAAAATTAAATTAAATTAAACAATTTTTTTTCTAACAACTGACCTCCAGTGGGAATGTGATGTTGTCTACGGCATGGTCGGAGCCTTGGTTGTTAGTGGAACCAAAATGGAAATAAACGTCTGTGATCTGTTAATTCGTTCGCGGATGTTTTTACTTTGTGTTTCAAATTATTTCATTTTAATCGGATAATATTTTCTATAAAAAATAAGTTATTTATTTTTAAATGTTAAATGGCATGTGTTTTTTTAAAATGTATTTTTGAAAACCATTGTGTGTGTCGTGCGAATAATTGAAAAAGAACTATGTTGAAATGGAATCACATGGAAACATTCACATACATATTCACAACAACATGACAACAACACACATACAAACAGAAAAAACAAACGAAGCAGAAATATACAAACAGAAATACAAAAACACATCCTCACATAAATAAACAAAACAACAACAGGATTAATTTTAACACGTATATAAATTCAATGAATAAAATAAATGTGTAGCAGCGACATTGTAAACAAACAATACAAAGCAACAACAAACATACAAAGACAACAAACAAACATACAAAAACAAAAGACACATACAAACACAGCAGAAGCCATACAAACATAGACACAGACATAAAAACACACAAAAAACCACCAAATTCCAATATCATATAAATATTATAATATATCATGGCTTTAAAAAACTACACATAAAAAAGAAGAATACGAACACCACACATACACACACACACACACAAACACTCACGTACATACAACCACATCCACACACACACACATACTCAAACACACATATACACACACAGTCACACACACTTCAGTCATTACCATGTACTTGTATGCTAATGGTCCGCCACTTATGTTCACCTTTTTTAAATATTTATTAAAATTTAATTTAACTTTAATATAGAATATAATTGTATGTATTTTATTAGTAAATTGTAAAAAATCGTATAGATGATGAAAACATGAATTAGTAAGCTACCCAGTTCATCGGGGGTGAAACGTTCGTGGCCACTTGGAACTTCAAATGTTGCCCCGTGTTCATCAGAAAGCCATTCATCTGGTGAGAATCGTGATGATGTTTTGTGTGTGATGTGAAAATGTTTTCATTGTTAATTCTCGTCTAGTTTTTATTTATTCGAATGGTTAATTATTACATTTATTTTATGTTTGGTATTCAATCAGTTATCATTATAAGTTATTCATTAATTTATTCATCCGAGTTATTAAAATGGCTAATCCAACAGAACTATTACATGTACTGTGGAACAGAACATTTCACCTGTACATTCATTCACTACTCATTCATTCGTGAAACCATAAATTTCCCAAAAATAAAATAAAAACATTGAACAGCAAAATAGCCAATACCGAAACAAAATACCATACAGCACAACTCCACCAAGAAAGCCAAGACAGCCAGGCCCTACTGCCAACAGTCGTCATAGCAATAGAACATGCCTCGTGTGTTTTCATTGCCCGTAAATATTTTGTTTTTGCCGTATTCTTTCTTCATATGTTCATTTCTACTTAATTGCTTATTCAAATGTTTGCTTGCATTCGGTTTTATGTTTGTTTATGTTTGTTTTTGATTTTATGTATGATTATTGCTCAAGATTGTGGTTTCATAGAATACTGTTTAATACACACGAGTGTGTATTATATACTCAAGTGTGAAGAAGATTGGGCTTTGCTGACGCATTTGTTGGTTTAATGGGGCGTGCCTAAGTAGTATACAACCCTACGTACCTACCTATTAATGAATGTAAAGCAAAGTTTGTCCTGTGAATACAAAATAGGGTTTGCGTGTTTGTATGCGTGGTTTTATGCGTGATTTTATGCGTCCTTGTATGTGTCTCTGCATGTGTGGTTGTAAATGTGTTTGTATGTGTGTTTTTAAGCGTGGTTTTATGCGTCTTTGTATGTGTGGTTGTATGTGTGTTTGTATATTGTTTTTGTATGCGAGTTTTTAAAATGGCCCTAAACTTTACAATAATAAGTACACTATACAGTTAACAACAATCTACGAATCTCTATCTATAATTATGCGTGTGCGCGTATGTGTGTGTTTGTCTGTGTGTGTGTGAGTGTGTATGTGCGTTTGTGGGCGTGTGTGCGCGTGTGTGTGCGTGGATGTGGATGTACAAACATGTACGTACGTACATGCTTTCTTGTGTACATTAACATTATCGTCATGTTACGCATGATCATTTTTTTAAGCGCATTTATATGCCAATCAATTTTTCAGGGCTCATTCAACGTTAGACCATCCATCTATTCATCCATTCGTCCGTTCGTCCATCCGTCTATCGTTCATCCATCTACTCCTTTATTCATCCATCCCATTCATCTACTCCTTTATTCATCCCATCCATCGATTAATCCATCAATCCATCCATTCTTCTAGTTATCCGTTTTTGTATCAATCTAGCATTGTTTTTAGATTTGGCTTTTACGCAAATCCATACCTAAAGTTTACATCTTTAAAATTAAGAGATTACAATATTAAGAACACAGTGCATAGTTGCACGTGTAAATCTTATACATGCAAATACGTGCTCCTGTCTATATATAATAATAGTATAATATCAAAAATACATACATACAAGTACTATTATTAACTTGACCATATACACGCATATATACACACACACGCATACAACACACATATATATATATATACACACACACACACATACACACACACATGTATAATATTCCGAAATTACAACAAACATACAACGGCATTCATTCATCAATCATTATCATCATTATAATATCATTAAATAAGTTTTATTCTTTCTCTCTCTCTCTCTCTCTCTCCCTCTCTCTCCCCTGTCTCTCCTTTGTTGTTCTCTTCTACTTTTACACTTTCGTTCTACCACTAATTTTTAGTTTTCTCCTTTTTCATTTTTTGATCTTGCGTAGCAGCGAGTATCCTTGGTTGCATTTGCGTCACGTGATACACCGAACTACTTCCGGTAAAGCAGCGCACCAATTACAGCCCTTGGCAACGGAAACGTCAACCGACGAGGAGCATTAATTTGAGTGATGATAATGATGACGACGACTACGAAGATGATGATAATGATGGTGATGATGATGATGATGATGATAACGATGATAACGATGATAATGATCTCTTTATACAATCCATAATAAAGATTTTTTTCATCAACAATCACTAATTATTATATAAATTATTAACAACATCGTCACCACCATCATTAGTTTTCATCATCCTAACTAGCATCATCATTAACCTCATCATCATCTCTAAGGTCAACTAATTATCATAATTTATGTTGAAAATATTTTTACGTGGCTGCTTTGAACATCTCTTTTTAGTATAAATCCGCTAAATTTCATTGTTGAAACAATTTCACCTAGCTAATAAATTGATACTCGAGTTTCACTATCATCATTATTGTTATCATCATCATCATCATCGATGTCATAGATTTACTTCAATCCTTTAATAATTTTATATATCAAAAGTAAAAAACTAAATTAAATCAATAAATTTGTCAAATTAATCAAAAATTAAAAAAGTTATAAACCTCCAGTAAAACTTGTTCATAAATATTTAAAACATATAAACAAAAATAGATTGTCAGCGTCATCATATTCGTTAGTGACTTCATCCTCATCATCATCATATTCTTCAGTGCTTTCATCATCGTCGTCATCACATTAGTTAGTGACGTCATAGTCATGGACGTCATCGCGATCTGCCAATATTGCAGTTGAAACATTATTGATACGTATGATGAACAATCTGAAACATCCGTCTCTTGCGCAGGCCTATCAATCAGAAAACTCAAGCCAAGCAGTCATCCATCCAGACATCCATCTATTCGATTTTTTTTTTAAAGTACATACGATCGTATGGACGAGTTTTTATATAAATTGCTGGGTATGCATTCATTCGTTCGTTCGTTCGTTCATTCATTTGCTCGTTTATTTATTTGTTTGATTATTCATTCATTCATTCATTCATTCGTTTGTTTTTTTGTGATTCATTCGTTCAATCGACAATTTTTTTGTCGACTTATTTAATGAATGACTTATAATAATAGAACCAGTAGCAGTAGTAATAGTAACAGCAATTGCAGTAGTAGTAGTAGTAAAGGCAGTAGCAGTAACAGAAGCAGTAGTAGAAGCAACAGCAGCAGCAGTAGTAGTAGTAGTAGTAGTAGTAGTAGCGGTAATAGTAGTAGTATTAGTAGTAGTAGCAGCAGTAGTAATATTAGTAACAGTTCGGCATTTAATTCCAATCAAAACAAATCTCTCCCAACATTCAATGAAGGCAGCTTATCAATCGAGAAACACATTTCGCGATTTGAACGAAAAATTTTGAAAGCGAATGGAAGAAAAGAAGAGAACATGGATAAACACTTGAACCACTATTGAAAAAATGAAATCAAACAGAATAATAAAATGAAAGAAATAATAAAATGTAAACCCAAACAAATATCAAACGTCTGTATAAAAAAAATAACTTGAAGAAAAGTTCTGTTTCAATCTTGTTTTAAAAATCGATACGTTCTTTTTCCTGTCAGTTTGGAAAAGAAAAATTTTTCTTTTTTCTTGGTTTTTTGAAAAGTTTTAAACATTTTTTAACAAAGCATTTCAGAATTCTAAATTCTAATTCTTATGAATACTGATATTGTTTCTCTTAAGTTCTGTCTACAAATTATATAGAAAAAATTTATTATAATTTGAAAATTTTCAAAAAAATGTTTTTTAAAGAAAAAAAAACAAAAAAATTGAAAAAAATGAAAATCGCTCTTTTGGAAGTTTTATAAATAATTTTTATGCTTGGCATAGAACGAAGGAAGTTCTTGATAAGAAAGTGTCATTCAACCTTTCACAGAAATGATGGTTTTAACGGGGTGTGCTATCTTGTTCTTGTTCGTGTTCGTGTTCATTCACATGTTCATCAACTTGTTTATTCACATGCTTATTCCCTTGTTCATACACATGTTCATCCACTTGTCCTTCCTTTTGTTCATTCACTTGTTCATCCACTTGTTCATCCCTTTGTTCATCAACTTGTTTATCGATTCGTCCGGAGTTTGATATAATTTCTTATTTGTTCTCCTCAATCCATATAATGTTTTGTAGCATTTTGCAAATTTTAAACTTTTGGAGCATTGAACTGTTGTTTATAAAGAAGTGGTAGGATAAATTGTTAGCTTTCAGTCACAACTCCATATATGGTTAGTAGCATCACTTTGTAATACAACGTAAAAGTTTATTTATTTATTTAATGTAAACTTTTGTTGACACTGTTTTTTTGTGTCAAGTAATGTGCCATGAAAAACTTTGAAAAATCACAGAAAAATCAAGAAAAACAGAAGCAAACAGAAAGGGAGAGAGAAAGAGATAGAGAAAGAAAGGGATCGAAAAGAGCAATTGAAAGAAAGAACAAAAAATAAAGAAATAAAACAGAAAAAAAGAAAGAAGGGGCTTAGGGCTTGAATTATAATGACATGACGTTGACGTGATGTTGACATAAGTCAATTTAATTTCCCGCTCTTTCTTCTACAGCTCTCTACGTATTTAAGTTTGCGGACGTTTTATCTGCGCTTGGTGTTAAGTAGTAGCCAGATGATGAACCTGATGATGGTGATGATGATGATGATGATGATGATGGAGATGATGATGATAGTTATAATGATGACGATGATGATGATGATGACCACGACGATGATGACGATGATGAAGACGATGACGATGAAAGTTACAACAATAATGATCCCGACAAAGCCAATGATGATAATATATACAGCATTAATGATGTTAACGACGACTACAAGTGATAATGATGATTGTGATGAGTGAATTCTATAGTCAAAAAGTGAGTAACAGCAGCGATGACGATGATGACGACGACTGGGTCATGAAAGAAACATCAACAAAAAAAATGATGGTGACGATGATGACGAAGATTGGCATATGTTTTGAAGAGAAACATTTTGATAAGAGAAACATCTGGGAATGCCACAGTTTGACACAACCAGCAAGATGATTGGTTTCGAAATGATTATTACATTAGCATTCATTTCAACTTCTCGAGTTATCACATCCACATAACATCTGCGTTTCTATTGATTCATTAATGTTGGTCTTGATTGCTTCATGGCAATGATAAACATTTCCAAAGTAATCGCTGTGAGCAACAGCTTACTTTACAAAAACACACTTGTAAAGATTGCTTACAAACTTCGGTGTGGTGTATGCCTACGCTTTCCAATACATTTATAAACAAAATTTTAAATTTATAAACGCATAAAAACAAACTACTGGCAAACACAGAGAGAGAGAGAGAGAGAGAGAGAGAGAGGGAGAGAGAGAGAGAGAGAGAAAAAGAAAGAAAGAGAGATAGAGAGAGAAAGAAAGAGAGAAAGAGAGAGAGAGAAAGAGAGAGAGAGAAAGAGAGAAAGAGAGAGAGAGAAAGAGAGCGAGAGAGAGAGAGAGATAGAAAGAGAGATAGAGAAAGAGAAAGAGAGAGAGACGTAGACACACGCAATGGCACGCAGGCAACAATACAGCAACGACATCAAGCCAAACATCATCATGCTAACGTACAATAATAATGAACCCTAACCAATCAAATCTAAATTAAGAATGATCACGTGATTCCGCTCTACGAACGAGCAAATAAACGAACAAACGAACGTAAAAATGAGCAAAAGACAAAAGAAATTAGTGAACGAACAAACGGCAAACAAACGAACGAACGAACGAACAGTGGACGAACAATAGCAAACTTGTGAACACGGCGACGAACGCACGAACGTAATTCAAAACGAATGATAGAATGATGGATGGACGGCAGGGTGAATGAAAGACGCGATTGAATGAGCGTGGTAGCCAGGCAACGGACAAATGGACGAATTAAACGAACGAACAAACAGCTCGACAGATTGCCAAGGTAGAAATATATTTTATTTTATTCTTTTCCATTTCACGCCATGATTTTTATACGGGCATTAATTTCTTCTTATTTCAATTATTTTTACATCATGTGGCCTCTTTTTTATTCATTTTCTTTCTCTCGAATTTCTAAGTTTAATCGTCTCACATTGAGTAGAATCGCATTAATAACATTAGCAAGACGATTTTAAATTTTAATTCTAGTTGAAGTTGTCTTTGCGGACGATGTTATATTTGATACAAGCATCTTTACGTTACATTGCTCCATTGATATTGTATCATTACATTGCATCTTTACTTGAAATTGTTACATTGATATTGTATCATCACATTTCATCTTTGCGTTATATTGCTCCATTGATATTGTATCATTACACTGCATCTTTACGTGAGATTGTTACATTGATATTACATTGTAACATTGTGTTCTTTTGATGTTTTTTGCATTCATAACATCAACAACATTTCCGGGAAATTTTTATCAAAACATTTACATAGCTAAAGACGGCTATCGGTAAGTTAATGTAACTTGTTCGGAAACATGTAAAATAGTGCAATGAAAAATGGGATGCCAACTTATACTTAAAATATTTTTTATGTCAAAATAATGAGTCGAAAGAAAGTTTTTGATGATTTTAATATGAAATGATACTACAGAAATTATAATTATACTAAAATTAATAAAAATAATTTTTCCAAAAGCAAATTTAAGAGTCTTGGTCTTAAAATAGTCTTACAATTTGTAACGGCAATTACAAAAATTTCACCAAAAAAAATTACCTTTCTACCTCACTTTTAACACTTAAACCAAATTGCGCTATCAAATTTGAAAAAATATTTCTGAAATTTTTAAAAATCTAAACAAAAATAATACGAAAAAACAAATTTAAGCAATTTCTCGTGTATGTGATTTATTTTTAAGAATTTTTTTCATTTCTAACGCCTCTGTATGCAAAATTCCAAGTTAATATTATAATTATACCATAATTATAACTATAGTTAAGCATAATTAAACCTAAATCTTATATTATCCATAATTAATTTACATTTTTATAAAATAATATTTGAATCATTGGCGAAATCAATTTAGACTTATTGCCTCTATGGCTGCTACAGATGGATGATGACGAAAGATGATTCGAATGCTGACGAGCGTGGAAATGGGATGAAAATATCGAGTGATGTCAGATGGAGAAGTGGAAAGTGATGATGACGATGAGGAAAAATGTTGATGAGGATGACTGGAGAACAACGGTGAGTAACATGAAGATGGTGATGATGTATTTGATCGTACAGTTAAGATAATAGTGGTAATATTGATGGTTGTTGTTATTGTTAGTATTATTATTATCATTATTATTATTATTACAGAAATATGATGACGATGGCGATGGTGATAATAATGTTAATAATGATGATAATCATCAGATAAAAAATGATTATGATGACTCAAATGATGCGATAATATTAAGATAAATACGATGATAAAGATGATGATGATGATGACGACGATGATGATGAAGAAAATGATGACAATGTATGTAATAATGAGTATGTAGTAATAGTACGATGATAATATGATAACGGCAATGATAATGCTTGGTACATCAACAATTTCGAAATATTATGATTTTCTCATCTCATTATGTTTTAATATGAATCATACGTGTTCAAGTGCAGTCTTTTTGTAACTATTACCCTTCATGTGGTCGCGAACATGCAACATCGTCATCGTACTCACTGAAGATCATCATCTCTCTCATCATCCTCATCAATGCCTACATCTGTCTTTTCTGATTACAATTATGTGTGAACTTATCATTGTTATATTATGCTAATGGCAATGTGGTATAATGGTTAAGACGCATGGTCCCGATGTCACAGTGTCTGGATTCAATTGCAAATAGATCACCGCCTATGTAAAAACACTGAATACGGGTTTTATCGAATTGAATAAAACCAAGCATAATTAAAACTAATTAATAAAAGCAATGGGCCGATAAATCTAACATTCAATTAAGAAGTTAAGCGCTTCGGACTGCTTAAAGGTGTACATTTAATTCCATTTTTACACTTGTAGCGAAGCGAATCACTTCCGGTTTCATATAATCCTCATCCCCGATGTTTATGCCCAACTCTCACACGTTCTCTTTTATCTCATTTCTCATTAGTTCATCATCATCTCCCCGTATTATTATTATTGTTATTATTGTTGCTTTTGCTATTATTATTATTATTATTATTATTATTACAATTTGTATAATATTGTCATTATTATTATTGTGGCAGTATTAGTAATAGCAGTTGTTGTTGATGTAGTAGTAGAAGTAGTAGTAGTAGTAGTAGTAGTAGTAATAGTAGTATTAGAGGTAGTAGTAGTAGTAGTAGAGGTAGTAGTAGTAGCAGAAGTAGTAGTAGTAGTAGTTGTTGTTGTTGATGTAGTAGTAAATGTAGTAGAGGTAGTAGTAGTAGCAGTAGTAGTAGTAGCAGTAGTAGTAGTAGTAGTAGTATTGTAGTAGTAGTAGTTGTTGTTGTTGATGTAGTAGTAAATGTAGTAGCAGTAGTAGTAGTAGTAGTAAGCGTTTCTAAAATAATTTTTAATAAATTTGTATACTTAGTATGTGCGTGATAATGCATTGTTATTGATATCATCATGATTCTAATCTGGATTCTATGAAAAACAAATTGTTTGCCTTCCCAGTTGCGTGCTTATGAAATTATCTTTCCTGTGTTTAACGGAAAGAAACTGTTTGTGCGTGCGTGTGTGTGTGTGTGTGTGTGTGCGTGTGTGTGTAAGGGCGCGTGAGTGTAAATTTTTTGTGTGTCTGTGAGATTTTTATGTACATTTGTGTGTAATGTGTTATCGATGTTTTCGTTTGTTTGTGATAGTGCGCTTGTCTGTATGCTTCGATTCAAAAGTGTCTTTTGCTCAGCGGGCGGCTGTTCTATGTTTTAGCGATGTGTATATGTGTGTGTTTTGTGAGTGATAGTGTGTGTTTGTGATGTATGTTTGTTGTGTTAGTTCGTTGTGTGTGTGTGTGTGTGTGTGGTGTGTGTGTGTGTGTGTGTGTGGTGTGTGTGTGTGTGTATGTTTTGTATCTATTATGTACGATGCAACGGTCTTCATAAATCTCACCCACGTGCTCAAATATTTATTTTTGCAACAATGAATTATGCAATGTTATTATTGCGGTTGTCATTCTCCTATACGTTGATATAGTAGTTTTCTTGCTGCTGTTGGTGATGGTGCAGTTGTTGTTATTGTTGCCGCTGTGGTTGGTGTGGTTGTTTTTGCTGTTGAAGCTGTGGTTGTTGTTGCTTTTGAAGCTGTGGTTGTTGTTGCTGTTGAAGCTGTGGTTGTTGTTGCTTTTGAAGCTGTGGTTGTTGTTGCTGTTGAAGCTGTGGTTGTTGTTGTTGTTGAAGCTGTGGCTGGTGTGGTTGCTGCGGTTGCTGCCATTTTTTTAATTTATTAACTTTGCAGCGACATCATTTTTACAGTATTGAATTTTGTTGTTAGTACTTTTATCGTTGAAAAAATATTTTCGCGGCTGTCATTTTGAGATTAAGTTGATTGATTTTTTCCATTTTCAACAACAAACAGCATTTGTTTAGTTTTTTGGCTTTGTCAGTTTTTATGGCGCCAAATGTTTCTTTGCATTTTACTGTTGGCAAAATTTTCAGTTAGCGATCAAAACAAGTTTAGCTCTGCTACCTATAGACAAATGCAACAACACTGACAACATAACATCAACACAAATACAACAGCTCATCAACACAACAACAATTTTGACAACAACAACACAACAACAGCAACAACAACAAGTTACCGTGTGATTATCAACTTTAACTTTATCAAGGTTTGGATCGTAGAGTAGTTCTCTAGGGTCGATGTTGATTGGTGATTGTCTCTTACCCTTAGCACACAACAGCCAATCATTGTTCACCAAACTCCAATACTGTGGCCCTGTATTTACGTGTTTGTGTGTGTGTGTGCATGAGTGTGCGTGTGTGTGCGTGCGTGTGTGTGTGGGTTTTGTGGTTATGTCTGTATGTATACAGTGCCTATGTACAGGCTATGTGTATTTTTGTATGTTGGTGTTAACTTTGTATGTATAGGCGTGTATGTATTGTGTGTGTGTGTGTGTGTGTGTATGTATGTATGAGTGTTTATATTGTTGTGTGTGTATGTGGTTATGTAGAGAATGTATATGTGTTTATTTTCATTATAAGCTGACGAAATTTCTTATCAGATTTCTTTGTTCGCCAACACATTTTTTCATCTCCATCATATCATATCATCAGAAAAATTTTTTTGTTCTCCATCACAATAATTTTTTATGGCCATGCTTTTTTCCTCCAATCTAATCATGTTTCAAGTTTCATCATCACAATCATGATTTAATTATTATCAATTTTGAGTTTTTACAAGTTCTCTTAACATCATCCTTATCATCATCGTTCTCATCGTCTTCATCATAATCGTCCTCATTGTCATCGTCATCATTGTCATCATCATCATCATCGTCATCATCATCTTCGTCGTTATCATCATCGTCATCATCATCTTCATCATCATCATCTTCGTCGTCATCACCATCATCATCGTCTTCTTCACCATCATCGAAAGCGGCATGCCCACGTATACAAAGGCAGATAAAATATTTGACAAGCTAATGCTTAAGACAACAAAACATACAAACATAAACGTACGCACGTACGTACAAACACACGCACAGTACACATACATACAGTTACACATACATACAGTTACACATACATACAATTACACATAAATACAATTACACATACATACAGTTACACATACATATAATTACACATACATACAATTACACATACATACAGTTACACATACATACAGTTACACATATATACAGTTACACATACATACAGTTACACATACATACAATTACACATACATACAATTACGCATACAAAGCACACACCAAAATCATCCACGATGCAAACAAACAGAACATTAAGCAAACATACAACCATTAACTAATTTTAAGCATCATCAAAAAAAACAATTTGTTCAAAATAAAATGAAAACAAATCCATCCATTCAATAAACAAAAGTACAATCGTGTTGTATAAAAGTCAGAGATATCTAAACATATAAAATCAAAAAACACACGCATATATACGATAATGCACATAAACACACACACATACGCAAGCACGCACGCACGAATACACACAAAACCACGCACAAAAACATGTTTGCGTCACTAGAAGAATGTCATCATTTCTTGAATCGCTCGGTCATGGCATTCCAGACATCCAGGCAACCAAACAGAAAAATTGAACTATCAAGCAAAAACCAATCAGATAGATAACCTGAAGTCTAAAGAACCAGACAGAAGGACACGAAATCATTCAGAATAACACAAATACAGACACTCACACAGACATACAGACACTAATACAAACATAAAGACATAAGCACAGACATTGAATCAAATCAAACAGACAACAAATAAAACTAGACCAACTAAACCAGACGGACAGCATCATAGGTTAAAAAATTAGACAACCAACGGGATATTCAAACATACTAGCTAACAATCAGCCAATCAAACAACAAGACAGACTTACAGAAATGCAAAAAAAAATATAGAAACATAGAAAGGCATTATCTCTTCTACCATCTTCATGGTATGTCCGGTATAAATTCATTATTTTCAAGTTTCTTTCGTTATTTGTTCAATTGGTAATCATTTTGAAAGCCTAAATGTCGTAAATTTCGAAAAAAAATGATTAAAAAAGATTTTGAAATGCGGTTATTTTTTATATAATTCTTTCAAGTTTTTTCAATTTTTTTTTTGAAAAATTAATTGACGCACATATCTAAGTGCTATTCAAATTACATGCTACACGTTTGTCTTACTGTTACATATCGCAAGCGTTTCAGAGAAAATAAAAAAAATTTTTTCCCCTTAAATAAAAAATACTTCGTTCCTATTAATTGAAAGATAATTAAAAATTAATTAAAATTGGTATCAGTTATATTAAAAAAAGGTATTCAAATATACAAACGGTATTAAATTTTCATTTTGACTCCACTATTTCAAGTTTTTAGATTGAAATTTTGTTAAGTTTGCCAAAAGTATTATCATCTATTTCTAAAAAATTAATTACTCAGCAAATTAATCCTTTAAAAGCACACAGTATTTTTTTGAATTTGAAATAGAAATTATTATTTTTGTCAAATTGAATAAAAATCTATTTTTTATACAAATTTGATACCATTTATACTTGCATGCTTATGCACATGTGCTTGCATGTTTTTACGACTCCACTGTTTAACATTTTAATCTGGCGTTGCTGAAGCTGTTGCAGCTTTCATTACCTTAGTTGCCTAACTTCATTGAAACAACGTTGTTGTTGTTGTTGTTGCATGTTGTTGTTGCATGTTGTTGCATGTTGTCGTTGTTGTTATTATTGTTGTTGCTGCTGCTGTTGTTTTTGTTGAGTTTGTTGTTTTTATTATTGCTGTCGTTGTGTTTCATTACATTTCTATGTATATAAATACATCCCGAAGCGTTAAAAGCGCTATTTTCATCTCACATTTCGTAATAGTCAAATTTATTTCAACAGGAATTACTCACAGGCGGACACATTTTATTTGAATATTCACCCAACAAACAAACAAACCCCATTTAAAAAATTCATTTTTATTAAAAGAGATTATAAAGGAAAAAAAACATTGGTAATAGATAAAAGGAGAGAGATAAGGAGGAGGTTGGGAGAGGGTTAATGGCAGTTTAACGTTCATTTTATAACGCTTGCCTAGAGCGCCGAACATTTTAAGGACGAGTGTTATATCAGTGGCTGGATGCTTGGGTCGACATGATGATGAGGATGGTGATAATGAGAATTATGATGATGGTGATGATGATGATGATGATGATTATTATTATTACGATGATGATGATGATGATGATGAGGAGGAGGAGGAGGAGGAGGAGGAGGAGGAGGAAAAGGAGGAGAAGGATGATGATGATGATGATGATGATGAGGAGGAGGAGGAGGATGATGATGTGATGATTATTTCAAAGCCGATGATGATAATATATTATATTACTAATAAGGGTGATAATAACAACATTAAAAATTGTGATTTATATGATGATGAAATTAACGCTAATAGCTATGAAGAGGGCAATAGTGATAGTGTTGAAAATGATAGTGTTGGCGATTGCGCAAAATGATGACAACATGATCGAGGTGCTAACCAGATATCCCCTCGTACGTCCACCATTCAGACCATGTTGAACTGCAGCCTGAAATTTGAATTTAAAAAAAAAGCGTATTAACTTATTCAATTTTAAAAAGTTTTTGTGGAAAAATACACTCAACAACAGTAACATCAACAACAACAACAACAACAATAAAATAGGCAACAATAATAACAACAGAAACAACGACAACAACATAAGCAGCAATAACAGCAACAACAACAACAAACCATAAAACAACAAACTTAACCGCAAACAACAAAAATTTTCACAAGTAAAACACCCACCAACAACTTCATAAGAATGGTAGTAAAAAAACATCGATGCACACCAAAGTCTAAAAATGCAGCAAAAATAATTTAAAGGATAGGAGCCTAAAGTTCGAATCTTTAATTATTCCTCTACTTTGTGAAGTTTTCTCGTCATCCACAATAATTTATTACAAACCAGGCTACTATCAAACTTTTTAGAAACAACGATTTTACGCATACAATATAACAACAACTAAGTAATGGTAAATTGTAAGATGACAATTTCTGGCGCGGGCAACATTGTAAGTTAGGAACTCCGCAATACACACACACACACACACACACACACACACACACACACTACAACATACACATACACGCTACTTAACAATACAGTTGGATAGAAAACTGAAACAACAACTACAAAATCAACACTTGCAAGTTTGCAAGAACTAACACAACATAAAAAAAACATCAACAAAACCAATTAATTAACAACCTCAGCAACAACAAAATACTAATCATTAACAAAACAACATAGCAACCACTATTAACAACAACATTCCAA